TTTCTAGTCTGATCAGAATTGAAGCCATCGAACAGCTAAGTCTGGGACTAAGCTGGACTAAGCTTTGAATGCTTCTCCGCCACAACCAATTTATGTGTATTCGTTCCTGACACTTTTGTATTTATTGTGATTTATTTATATTCTGTGTTCTCTATAATTTTTCCATGTTCTTTTGATTCTCTTTGTGTTCAGACAGTGTTGCAGCATGGGCTCATCTTGCTTCCTTAACCCTCAGTGGTGGCATAAATCTTCCTTCACCTGTTCTGAGTTTGTTGGTTAAGTAGTACATCAGATCCTGTGTTGTTTCCTCTATGTTCTCTCCTTCACACTATTCAATCCAGGAATTTTCTGACCTTCTGGTATTCTCCTTTCAGTGATGCTTGCCTTACATTCTTGCCCATTTTACCTCTTTCTATTGCCTTCATTGTCACTATATGCGAAGACTAATACAATGTGGTCACTGGCTCCTACTGGCCTTTCATGATCAATGTTTCCAATGAGAAATTGCAATGTTTTTAATGTTCATTATGTGTGAAGATCAGGTCTAGCCTAAGTGATTGATCACCACCCCGTCACCTTGTCTCCTCCCTAACATGTTGCATTAGAAAGTTCCTCTCTATCATTAGCTCTTCATATCTCTTCTCCTCTTAGGTTCATTCTCTCTATGCAAGTTGTTCATGATTGGAGTCTCCTAATACTGGCAGCTTTCCTCTCACTCTGTGGGCTGTCAGTCACCTTAGGAGAATATTTGTAAATCATCTTAAATTTGTTTTCTTTTCTCAGTTTTCTGTAGTTCTGCCGAGGAATGTACGTCACTCATTGCAATTTTGACATCTTCAATTAAATTTATTTCCACAATATAATTTTCTCCATCCAAGGAAATCAATTGAAAGATCCAATTGCTTTTGCACGGGATTGACACACCAGTTCCTTCTTTCAATTCATCTATTTCATTTAACATTCCATCAGCATTGGTGTTACAAATCTTCAAAGTTGTCATTTTTGTTGTGGCTTATATATGGGCAGTTTCCAGCTTAGGGGTAGGGATCAGTTTGGACGCGTTTAAACTGGTAGGTTGACTGTTATATTCTGTAAAAATACATTTGTATAAGCAATAAATCTAATCTTGAAATTATGTATAGAGATATGGGATATAGGAGAGCGAACTGAGTAGTAGTCCTGTGAGATGAGTCTATCTAGAGTTGTGGGTGCTCATGAAGAAGGCTGTCATTACTTTGTCTTTGTAATATCTTGCTTTTATGTACTCAGATACTCTCTTATTTGATTATGGAAGGGGGGGAGGGGGGAAAAGGGATGAGTATTTCTTGCCTTTGGCCTCCCTCTCCTTTTATCTCTCCCAATTGTCTACTCTCTTCCCTTCATTCTTTCTCTCTGTTCTAAGCTTCCATTGACCAGTTTTCATAATTATCTCCCAATTATTCACGCCTTCCAAGTAGACTCTTTCAAATCCACTTATTGCTCTGAAATTATGATTCATAGTGCAACTTTATTTTTAAATACCAGCTTCAGTGGTCTACCTTTTTCTGGTTTCCCATGCAGAAAATGATTCGAGCCTGTACACCTCCAGCAAATCTCTCTCAGCCTCACGAAAGCTCGCTCTCAGGAGATCTACGGATGATTCTCCCTCCAACTGCTTATGATCAGCATTAGTTTACACTTCTGTTTTCTTGGCTAGTCCCTCAGTGATTGACATTCCTGCCTTTAAAAATGATTTTTCTTGTCTGTTCTTCCAAATTATCTTTGGAGGGTAAGAAAGGGACGGTAGAGGATTACTGTGTACATATGTGATAGAATAGACAGTGTTCCATCCTGTCATAATGATGAAGGACAGCCACTGTCTACTCCTTACCAGTCATGAATTTTCCAAAACTGATTAGTATAGTGTTGGCAAGTCATCGTGTTTGTGTTTACGTGTGTGTTTGTTTGTGCGTTTGTGTGTTTCCATTCACTTTTTTGGTTTGCTCTTCCTCTCTTGACACACTCTTCTTTCCTCATGCATAAACAGGTAACGTCATACACGTCATCTCCTTCAATGTCCTCCCTCCTACCTCACCCGTCTCCAACACCCTCCCTCCTCCCTCACTCTTCTCCAACACCCTCCCTCCTCCCTCACCCTTCTCCAACATCCTCCCTCCTCCCTCACCCTTCTCCATATGAGTCCGTCCACATTTAGACAGAAAAACACAGACTGACAGACATACAAATGACAGACTCACGGTGACAGGCAGACAGCAGACGAAACTGAGAGACAGACACAGAATTACATATTCCAGTTACATAGTCACCCAATTACATAGTCACCCAATTACATAGTCACCCAGTTACATACTCATCCAATTACATAGTCATCCAATTAGAAAATCATCCCATTGTAGACTCTTGCTATTATCGTACTTTTCTGTTTCATCTGTTTAGCGGCGATGATTGGGAACATTCCTGTTCATCATCCATCACACATTGGTGGTTGTCATCCACCGCATTAGTGGCTGTCATTCACCACATTAGTGGCTGTCATCCATCACATTAGTGGCTGTCATCCATTACATTCATAGCTACTATCTACCACATTCCTGACTATAAAAATACATCTTATTACTATCAATCATCCACTTTATTACTACCAATCATCCACGTGGGTGTCCTGCATCCCATTCTTAGCTCTTTATCAACCACATCCATGCCATCCATCTCATTCCGGGCTCTCAACCTCTGCATCCAAGTGGTGGGTTGAAGTGTCTCCAAAATGCACTAGGGTGAATTGTCGCATTTGTTAGTGCAAGGTTGACAGTATGCGGAACAGTGCGGGCACTGTTAATAATTAGACGGGCACCTCTGGCACCCGCTTGCCCTCAGGCGTATGTGAAGGACAGAGACGCCTCCAGACGCGTGCCTATTGGTCCCTCTGCAACCATCGTCGCAATGTAAACAAGAGATAGTCATTCTCCCTCACTACACTGACGTCTCCGAATTAACCTGAGAGGTCAGTGGCCACTCTGACCTCGTGGTGATGTGTACACACTGACCTCGTGGTGATGTGTACACAGTGACCTCATGGTGATGTACACACACACACTCTCTCCACACACACACGCACACACAGGCGAGCGTGTGCACAATAGGTTAAGCAGCTTTCCTAAGTGGAATCCATAGAGTAAGAAAGAGAGGTGCAGTAGAGGAGGAGGAGGAGGGAGAGTGCAGGTGTTATGGGAGCGGGATTATAAGCCTCCATTATGTTGTTGTTGTAGCACCATCACTCACGACACCACAACACCATACTGAAGCACCAAGACATAGTAAAAGATACGACAATAATCCCACACACCGACGACCGTACGAGGCTTCGTGTGCTGAGGTTGTGTACACTCGGGAGATGACACCAGTAATCATCATCCAGATGAATCTAACTTCGAGCATACAACTGTTCGATGGTCCTCCATTGACCAAGAGTGAAGATGTAAGACCTGGCGGACAGCTAGAAGCCGGAATCAGGCAACAGTCACCTTACTCTATCCTTCGCCTCGCCCTACGATTAAGGGGTTAGGTTAATCGTAAAGTATGGTGTCCAAACACTTATAAATATTTAGATTTCTCCTTGTAAGCTCAGTATAGTTGTGTTAGTTTAAGAGTGTACTCCTGAAGGTGCCACACTGCTGACGGAACGTCGAACAATAAAAATGGAAGATTAAGTGATCAAGTGTTTCTTCACTCTCCAGGGGAGGGAACTATCAGGGGAAAGCGCCAAATCATTACGACTATATAGCATTGGGAAGGTGTCAGGATAAGGATTTGGGATGGGACGGGGGGATGCAATGGTGCTCAATTACTTGGACGGTCGGGGATTGAACGCCGACCTGCAGGAAGCCCTCTACCCTCACTACCTCTTCTATTCTGACTGCATCGTACTATCCTCCTCCTCCTTCCCTCTTTATCTGTATCCAATAATGTCTCCAACTTCAGTTCTTCAGCATCTCTTGCTCTTTCTCTTCCTGCAACCCTCTCTCTTATCGTCTTCCCTCCCACCTCCGTCCCGTCTTCACTTCTTTCCTATCCTCTCTCTCTCTCTTTCCCTTCCTCTGCAAATGTCGTCATTGAGAAACCCGTGATTGCAGGCGGCTCTCGCCAGACTGGATCTGCCCTTAGCGTAATATAACCACAGCAGGAGTATGTAAGGAAGCGGCCGAGTTTGCGGTCCTGGCAACTACTCGAGTCAGCCTTGAGAGTATTTCTGGCTGCTTTCAAGCGATTTTTAGATTGCCTGAGAGATCTTAAAGGTGCTTCTGGCTGTGTTGATGTCGGGAGGAGGACCTTAAGAAATTGGTTGGAGTTTTGTGACATCGTGTTTGCCTCTCTCTCTTTAAGAGTTTCTGTAGGACGAAGAAACGTGAGAGGTTGGTTACAGAGCTGTTTACGAGGCTGCTGGTTCGAGGGTCGTTGGTGCTGGCAGACGCCTCGCAT